GGAGAGTTGCGGTGAATCTTCTCTGAGGTAGTTGTGTAGACTATATTATGCCCTTTCGCATGACGCCATTTTTTGGAAAAAAATATATTATTGATTAACCCTACAACAATGCGTATTTAATTTCTAAGTCAGTATCTAGGTCCAAGTCGCCAAGTAGGTAAGTTATTGAAAAGTTATCCAAAAGCTTTTGTGATGTGCGGCAAATTAGGGCAATTTGCCAGTCTCAGCTGCCTGTGAGTATAAGTTGAGGAAACTGGTGAGTTTATCTGTGTAACTAACAGTTGATGCATATATATTTTGTGAAGCAAGCTTCCGATATGTTGTAGCTTCGTGCGCATCTGAGGACATGTTTTTGGTATCAGCTATTATTTAAACTAGATCCTATAAACAAACAGTGCGTACTTTACAGCTTTAAAGATAGAAGTCTGAAATCATCAGTTTTCAATTATTAATACTCTGATTTAAAGTATAATTTCTTGGATTCGGTAATATTTTTGAAGCACCAAAAGGTGTAAATTTTGAGTAGATTGGTGACGGCGCACTGGTCAAAGACAAGCCTTGTATCTTTTCGTTCGAATTGAGACTTTCGCATCTTCTTCAAGCTACGATATAAGAGCTAAATACATTTACCATAAATCAAAGAGCAGAATGAAGGTTTAAAAAGTATCCTACATTCAACATAGCGCGTACTGTAATGCTAAAATATTTTGCACTTTGTACTCTGCTCTCTGCGATACTCAATCATTGTTTATATCTATTGTCGGATCTCTCATTAGTTCGGCGAGACGTTATATGTATATGCATTCACTGTGATGATTAACACATCTATCACGTTATATGTATGTACGTTGCCCTGTTTTTCCCCAAAACACTACGATGTTTCAAAGCAAGAACCACTAAAATCTCAAAAAAGCTTAATTACGATGTGCTTCATCCAAGAGAATTTTATACTACAAATGTTTCCATCAAAATTTGCGTAAGACTTTGTAACGTGAAAGTGTACCGCGAGATCTATCGCTCTTGTCTGCCATTTTCAAAATACAGGAGACCCAATCATTACCACAGCAAGACCAAAATTCTTTATTCAGCAATGCCACACAATAAATAGATAACGGGCCGAAACATCATCGCTTTCGAAGCGATATAGGCTTGTTAGTAATGTTAACGTTGTCACAAACGTAATATTTGATGTCCTYTTTCCTCGCAGAAGGCTCAGGAGAATCCCCTACAACATATACATCAATGTTGAATGACTTGGAGACCATCAATCCTAAATTGCTGTGTAAGTTAGTACATATGGTATCTAGATAACCTAATTCCCACCATATACTTGATAGCATAAGCGCCAAGAAATAACGATTTTATGATCAAATTAGGCTCATAAACCATTTAATTAAGCTTATTGCATTGAACTTGATGTCATTTCATTGAGGAATAAGATTTTTTATTTGGATTGTATCTGATTCTATCCATCCTCATTATCGAAGAAAGACAAGTGTAGCAACGGATTTCCCCCGCCAAACTTACAATATACGATCGACGCGTAGAGTCTCAGTGGACATAAAAGACAAAGTTTACGGTGGAAATGGTGGCCTAGAACGCGTGTCGTCACGTCACCGGAAGTAATCTTGACTTCCTGTATCATTGCCGTATTCTTTCTTTTTATCTTATAGCTCGCCTTGAAGCTCTTTCCAAAACCGTTGTTGATGGAAAACCAAAGTCTGGCAGAAAAGAATCCATGTGGACAGCGGCAAACCGAATGAGAAAAGCACGAGCGCAAGGCGGCGGGCCTACAAGTGCAGGCCGAACGAGAAATGAATCATCCGGTGCAAAGAGTGATAGCCGTGGATCTGGCCAAAACAGTTCGCCACAAAACAAAGGCAAAACTCGGAAAATCTCCAGAAGCTCGAATTCTTAGTCATAAAGGAGTCAGTGCAATTGTTAATCATTTTCACTATCTCGCTTCTATTTGGCCGAGAGCCAGCCTAACGCCAATCTATGATATCGTGTGAACTCGACATCTTAAAAGGTATCATCTGTAGGTTTTCTTGCAGATAGTACATTTATCATGTCAAGCTCACTCAAGGTCACAAGGAGATTGAAGGACGTTTGCTTTTTCTTTGGAATTAGAATTAAATCTTTAAATCTAATT